ACTTACGGGACCGCCTTCTGCTACTGACAGCCTCCCACCGGCCAGTACACAGGGCAGGGCTCCTCGGGGCGCCGTCGGTCAGACAATGTTGACTGGCGACCCCCCGGGAGAGAGCCTTCTCAGTGGGGGCTCCTGACCTCTGGAACGAGCTGCCCCCGGAGGTACGGAGGATCCCGGACTTACGCACCTTCCGCCGTGCCCTGAAGATTCTGTTATTCCAGCAAGCCAGACTAGCCTAATTTTAACGGTTTTAAATTTTAAATTGGATTTTAATGGGATGTTTTTAATTATGGGCCAAAGTATTTAATCTGGTTTTAAATTGTTTTTAATTTTTATATTTATGTATTTGATCTTGGCTGTTCACCACCCTGAGTCCTTCGGGAGAAGGGCGGTATATAAATATAATTAATAAATAAATAAAATAAAACTAAAGAGAGTCTTTCTTAGCTAATAGAGATAATAGTGTCATGAATAGATTAAGAAATGAAGGCACAGTTTATTGTCTGTTTGAAAAATAAATTCCAAAACGGCTGTTTTATCCAACAACAATATAATTTCAGGCCCACCCTCCAACTTTAACTCACCAGCTATTTTGAAGCTCAGCTTCTAAAACTGCTTGCAGGCTGTTGCTCTTATTGGAGGATCTTGAGGGATGATTCTGGGACTCTCCCTAACCCAGGAGAGTGAAATAAATGAAAGGAAGCCTGTTTCTTCAGTTGTTGAGTTCGAAAGATGACAGTCCAGAGAGAGGAGATTCTTGGGGCATGTCAGGTGCTGGCCACGTCTTCACTGGCAGCTCCAAACCCTAACACCATAACACTTTGTTATGATTTAAATCCAATGTTTTGTGTCCTGGAACAACTGTAAACTCCCTGTCTTCCGGGGCACAGTTCCTCAGACACATATCGGCCACAACTGCATCTCCTTGTGGCCCACCCCAGCATGTCTAATTCTTCCTCTTAAGACTTCCATCTGTCTTGCTTGCTCAATTGTTCTCAGACCACAACTGACAAACTGCAGTCTGACCAACGCAGGCCACATTCAGAGCAACGACAATCTCACCTGATTCTGACATTATGCTTCTCTTAATGAAGCCTTGGATTGCTTTGTTACTGCTTTGTTGATTTTTTGATTTCACAGCTGCATCACACTGTTTGGCTTGTGATCCACCAAGACACTTAAAACCTTTTCACATATACTGCTGTCCAGTAGTGTCCCCGTCCAGCTGAAAAATGGTTTACAAAACTATTGGATCAGTGCATCTGCACATTGTTTCCCCTCTTCATCAAATGGTTTTTAGATATAAAGCTGTTAAATATGTAAATAGGGAGTGAAGCCTGGAGCACAGGCTTCACTCAGGTCTGGTCTTGGAAGAGACATCAACATACCCAGTGTTCATTGGTCCATTCGAGCGGTGGAAAAATAAAGAAATGATAGTGGCTGGGGTGCCTGACAGATCCCTTTAAAAGAGGGCACTGTCGGTCAGCTGGCTGAGGAGTTTTACCAAGCCACAAAATACCACAAAATTTTATTTATTTTATTTATTTATTTATTTTATTTTATTTCTATACCGCCCTACTCCCGAAGGACTCAGGGCGGTGCACAGCCAAACAATAAAATACATTCATACAAAATTTAAAAGTGGAATTAAAATCAAATTAAATAGTTTTGGCCCAGACAAATTAAAACCCCAATCAATTTAAAACCAATTTTAAAAATTGAATATATAAAATGCTAAAAAATGTTAAAAATTAAAAATCTTTTATAAAAGAGGGAGAAAATTAGGCCAGGCCCACCTGGTGAAATAAAAAGGTCTTTAAAGCGCGGCGGAAGGTGTGCAGATCCGGGATCCTCTGTATCTCCGGGGGGAGCTCGTTCCAGATAGTAGGTGCCCCCACAGAGAAGGCTCTCCCCCTGGGGGCCACCAGTCGGCATTGTTTGGCCAACGGCACCCGGAGGAGCCCCTCTCTATGAGAGCGTACCAGCCGGTGGGAGGCTATTGGTGGTAGTAGGCGGTCCCGCAAGTACCCAGGTCCTGAGCCATGCCACAAAATAAAGAGCTGAAGTCACTAGTCAGAGTCCTGCCTCTTCATTCGACCCCCAACTTAACAGTGGCGACAAGGATGGGATTTGAAGGACAACGGAGCTGAACTGAACTGGGCATCCACATGGCATCAGCCATCATCGCAGCAACTGGCATCTGCATCGGCATCCAAGATGACCACGTATGTCCCACCCACTCCATTCAATCCAGTTAAAGAGACTTGGAAGAAATATATGCTCCGATTCAATTGCTTTCTGGAAGCCAACGATCAATATTCCAACTATTGGAAGCCAACGGTTGGTTCTATTAGGAAAAGTGCGTTTTTCCTGAGTTACTGTGGAGCCGAAGTCTCAACATGGCTGAAGCAATAGCAGATTGATAGACGGTACCGTGGCTGACACTCCAGGAATTGCTCAGAGCACATTATGCACCTGTACTCTCACCGATGGTGTACAAACACGCCTTTTACCACAGGAAGCAAGAGGGAGGTGAGAAGATCAATCAGTACATCGCAGCTCTACGAAAAACCATGGCTCGCTGTGAATTCAGTAATATAGAAGAAGCCATGTTAGATAGGCTTGTATTTGGACTGAGAGGCCTCCAATTACAGAGGAGGCTGCTATCCATGCCTAATCTCACATTTAAAGCAGACTTAGAGGAAGCCAGAGCAACTGAAGCAACCGATAAAACAGCAGCGGCCATCCAAAAAACAGGAAACATAAATGTGCCGCAAAGAGCAGCTACCGTGCATCAGGAGAGCTGGGAGCCTGAAGACTCCACAGATGAAGATGATGAAATCCATTGCCTATGATCCGAAAGGAATACAGGGAATTCAGAGACACAAGACAGATCGCTGTTTTATGCCTGCTGCGGGGAAAATCATCCCAGAGTGAGCTGCCGATTCCTGGATGCAATTTGCCAAAGATGCGAGAGAAAAGGACACATTGCAAAAGCTTGATGAGCTAATCTGCCTGCCCTGTACTGGCAATGGCCATCAGAAAGACAAACAGGATTCAGAAAAGTAGGGAAGACAGCTGACGCCGCGGCAACATGGACGGGGATTTCTGAGCTCCAGAAACCCCCGCCAACAGCCCTGATCCCAGACGGTCCCTTCGGGACCCCGCAGTCTAGTTTTGACTGCGGTAGTGTAGAGCACAACCCCGCAATCCCAGGGATACCGCAAACCCCCTGATTGATCCAGGGAAAGCTCTTTTTCCGGTGTCGGGGTAGCAGCCATTAACGGCTGCCAAGGCTGGGGCAGCTTGAAGAGAGAGAAAGTGACAGCGTATCGGATCGGTGAGAGCTTTCAATTACTAAATAATACAGAGAACACCCTGAGGGCAAATGGTTTTGAAGATTGCATCTAAGATGAGATAAGCGGCGAAGTTAAAGAAAGAAAAAAAATTCTTTTTACCCTATTCGGCTACTTAGCTAAAGGACTTAATTGTTTAATTGCTTCACTTTCACTATTAACTGAGACTGGCACTGAATAGAAAGAGAGAAGTTTAGCAGGACTTGTAATCTTTGTTTGTTTGTTTTTTAAGAGAAGAATTGGTGAATATTGGCTGGAGTATTTTATTGGATTTGAAGGTTTTTTTTTTAATATTCCTTTTAAAACTTTCAAAACTTTTTTTTTCTTTTGGTAATTTTTGTTAGTAGAAAGACAGGAGACTGTACTGCCATCTGCTGGAGAAACTTGTTTTTTTATGTTTATTCAAGTTGACAGCTAAGAGCTACAGTGTAGACAAAACAAAGAGGCTGTATGTGAAGTAGATAAGACCTGTGAATAGTTGGAGAATGTGGTTTATCTGCACTGTATAAACAGGTGCTATGGCTGGTTCTTATGGAAACAGAAGCCTCGAAATAATATACAAGGTCACTGTGCTCTGTAGAGCTGCTACTTGCTAATTTTTTTTCCTGAACTAGTGCTCTCAATATTATGGCTTGACTAAAGTATCACTCTCTGAATGTTTTCATCCGTGGTTTTGGGGTGAGGGTACATCAGTATGCTGATGACACTCAGCTGTACATCTCCACCCCAGACCACCCCAATGATGCCCTTGATGTGATGTCTCGCTGCCTGGAGGCCATGCGGGTCTGGATGGGGAGAAATAGGCTCAGATTCAACCCTTCCAAGACCGAGTGGCTGTGGCTTCCGGCGTCCCAATATAGCTGGTGCCATCGCTGACTATTGGGGGTGAATCTCTGTCCCCCACAGAGAGGACTCGCAATCTGGGTGTCCTCCTGGACGCACGGCTGTCTTTAGAAGAGCATATGACGGCCGTGGCCAGGGGGGCTTTTTATCAGGTTTGCCTGATTCGCCAGTTGCAGCCCTTTCTGGACTGGAACGCCTTGCGCACGGTCACTCATGCCCTTGTCACCTCCCGGCTGGACTACTGTAATGCTCTCTACATGGGGCTCCTCTTGAAGAGCACTCGGAGGCCCCAACTGGTCCAGAATGCTGCCACACAGGTGGTTATGGGTGCAATCCGTTGTGCCCACATGACACCCCTCCTGCGCGAGCTGCACTGGCTCCCAGTGGTCTTCCGGGTGCAATTCAAGGTGCTGGTCACCACCTTTAAAGCGCTCCATGGCATAGGACCCTGGTACCTTTGAGACCGACTTCTGCCACCAATAGCCTCCCACCGGCCAGTCCGCTCCCACAGAGAGGGTCTCCTCAGGGTGCCAAGTTATGTTGGCTGGCAACACCCAGGGGGAGGGCCTTCTCTGTGGGAGCCCCTGCCCTGTGGAATGAACTGCCCCCGGAAATGCGTAAGATCTCCGACCTCCGTGTATTTCGCTGTGCCCTCAAGACCTTGCTGTTCCACCAGGCCAGGCTATCAATGTAATGATTTTAAATTGGGTGTTTTAAATTTTTTGGGTTTTAAATCTGAGCTGAAATTATTTAATAATTTTAATTATTTTTTATTGATGTCTGTCTTTGTGCTTTTAATAGGCTGTACACCGCCCTGAGTCCTTTGGGAGAAGGGCGGTATAGAAATAAAATTATTATTATCATCATCATCATCATCATCATCATCATCATCATCATCATCATCTTCCCCAGGCGGATTTTTACGGATGTGCTCACCGGCTGAGCTCTTTGCCTTGCGAGACTCCCCCCTCTCGCAAGCCTGGCCTTCTATGTTATCAAAGGCCTACCTCGATGAAGGGTTTTGGAACCCAGAGAGGTGGCATGCCGCGAAAAGGGAGTTGAGGGGTTTTTTATGTAAAGTTTTAGCTAATTTCTTAAGGGGTTCCGGGGGGGGGAAGGGTTGGATTAGAAGTAGGGCCGTGGGTATGGGGGATAACCCACTAAGGGGAGGGCCGGGTATGGCTGTGAAGCACGGCATGGAGGGTGGGGGGCCCGGGGTTGAGGGGGGGGTTAAAGCTCATCCAGATAAAGTCTTTACTATCAGTACTGTGGGTGGGAGGGATAGATATGGCGGGAGTAGGGGGCCATATCATGTTAGGGGAGCGTGCGCCCGCTGTCTTTGAGCGGTGGCGCGCTCCGGCCCCCAAAGCTCCACTCGTTCTCCAGGTTGTGCAGATCCTCAGGGACCTGGCCTTTGGCTGATGTTGTGCAATGCCAGATCTGTAGTAAGTAAAGCCCCCCTCATTTGTGATCTTGTCCAGGAGGAGGGAGCGGACCTGGCAAGTAATACGGAAACCTGGTTGGGCCAAGAGGAGGGGGTCCCTCTCGTTGAAATGTGCCCACCAGGTTTCCGCACATTCCATCGGCCGAGGTTGCAGGGTAGGGGCGGGGGGGTAGCAGTTATCATTAAAGATGGTCTGAGACCGAGGGAGGCCACTGTTCCTCAGACGGCCGACTGTGAATCCCTCCTTGTGAAATGGGGTCACGGGGTTCAGATGGGTTTGCTGATCACGTACCTGGCTCCCTGCCATGTGGCAGCAGCCCTGCCCGAGCTACTCAACATCATCGCCGCGGTGGCGGTTGATACCCCTAGGCTTATTGTCATGGGGGATTTCAACTTGCCGTCCGTGGGTGAGGCGTCTGAGGTGGCTCGGGAGTTCATGGCTTCCATGACAGCCATGGACCTGACTCAGTTAATTCATGGCCCTACCCACATGGAGGGAAACACGCTGGATCTGGTTTTTGTCTCTGGACAGTGGTTGAGTGATCTTGAGATAGGAGATATAGTTACCGAGCCCTTGTCATGGTCAGATCACTCTCTCCTTCGTCTTGATCTTCAAACCGCTGCATCCCGCCGCAGGGAGCCGGAGCCGGTAAGATGGTTCTGCCCCAGGCGCCTGATGGAACCTGACAGGTTCCAGATGGAGCTTGGGCCATTTCCTGAGGCTCTGGCACACGCCTCGGCTGGAGACCTAGTGGCCGCCTGGGATAGGGCGGCCGCTGGAGCTCTGGATCGGGTCGTGCCTTTGTGGCCTCTGACCCGGCGCCGATCTCATTTGGCTCCTTGGTTCACTGAGGAGCTGAGGGAGTTGAAGCGCCGGAAAAGACGCCTAGAGAGTAGTTGGAGGGCCAGTCTTTCAGAATCGGACCGGACACTGGTAAGATCTCATATTAGGAATTACCTAGTGGCGATAAAAGCAGCAAAATGTAGCTATTTTGCTGCTCTTATTGCATCATCAGATAATCGCCCGGCCGCTCTGTTTAGGGTGACCCCCTCCCTGCTCCACCAGGAAGCGTGGGAGGACCCCTTGGAGGGTAGAGCCGAGGATTTTGTTCAGTTTCTGTATGACAAAATCACTCAGATCCGGGAAGATTTGGACTCTGACTGGGTAGTCTCAGGGGGAGGGACTGGGGCAGGTCTTGAGAATGTTATCTGGAATGAGTTTGATCCTGTGACCTCTGAGGACGTGGACAGGATTCTGGGCAGACTGAATGCGACCACTGGTTTATTGGACCCGTGCCCCTCCTGCTTAGTGCTGGCTTCCCAGGAGGTGACGCAAGGCTGGCTCCAGGGGATTATAAATGCTTCATTGGGTGAGGGTGACTTCCCCGCCGCCTTGAAAGAGGCGGTGGTGAGGCCTCTCCTCAAGAAGCCTTCCCTGGACCCAGCAGTGTTGGCTAATTATCGTCCGGTCTCCAACCTTCGTTTTGTGGTGAAGGTTGTTGAGAGTGTGGTTGCGCGACAGCTCCCCCAGTACCTGGATGAAACGACGTATCTGGATCCATTCCAGTCAGGCTTCAGGCCTGGGTACAGCACGGAAACGGCATTGGTCGCCTTGGTAGATGATCTCTGGAGGGCTCGGGACAGGGGTTGCTCCTCTGTCCTATTAGATCTCTCAGCGGCTTTTGATACCATCGACCATGGTATCATGCTGCACCGGTTGGAAGAGTTAGGGGTGGGGGGCACTGTACTACGGTGGTTCTCTTCCTTTCTCTCCGACCGGTTGCAGTCTGTGTTGGCAGGGGGGCAGAGGTCAACCCCGAGGCCCCTCATATGTGGGGTGCCACAAGGGTCGGTCCTCTCGCCCCTTCTGTTCAACATTTATGTAAAGCCGCTGGGCGAGATCATCCGTGGCTTCGGGGTGAAGTACCACCAGTACGCTGATGACACCCAGCTGTACATCTCCACCCCGGACCACCCCAACGATGCCCTTGAAGTGATGTCCCGGTGTCTGGAGGCTGTGCGGATCTGGATGGGGAGGAACAGGCTCAGGCTCAACCCATCCAAGACCAAGTGGCTGTGGTTTCCGACGTCCTGATATAGTCAGTTGACGCCATCGCTGACTATTGGGGGCAAATCGCTGGCCCCCACGGAGAGGGCTCGCAACTTGGGCGTCCTCCTGGATTCACGGCTGTCTTTAGAAGAGCACTTGACGGCTGTGACCGGGAGGATTTTTCATCAGGTTCGCCTGATTCGCCAGTTGCGTCCCTTTCTGGATCGGGACTCCCTACACACAGTCACTCATGCCCTCGTCACCTCCCGCCTGGACTATTGTAATGCTTTCTACATGGGGCTCCCCTTGAGGAGCACCCGGAGGCTCCAACTGGCGCAGAGTGCGGCCGCGCAGGTGGTTATGGGAGCAACATGGCGCTCCCGTGTGACACCTCTCCTGCGCGAGCTGCACTGGCTCCCGGTGGTCTTCCAGGTGCGCTTCAAGGTTTTGGTTATGTGAGAAATAAAGAAATTAGGGTTATTCCTGTAAAACAATATAGCCTAAGTTACTCCATTTTAAAATCATGTTAAGGCCTTATTTTACTCTGTATAACCTGAGTATATAATTTAGCTGACAGTTTAAGGAGTGTGAGAACAGGATGTGTGGTTCCTGTGTTTTTAGAGGAAGTTGTGTTCTTGAGATGTCCAGGTCGGCTTGACCTCGTTAAGAAAGGGAAGTGCGTATATGCTGATATTACTTGTTATGCTGATATACACATGTAAGCAATATTTTTAAGTAGGGTATTTTTATATACTGGAATTATGGGGACTTTCCATAATGGGAATATCATGTGTTCATCTATTATATAAAGTCTGAAATTGTACTCAAGGGACATGCTTGTATCCTGTAAGATGTAACCTGAAAATTGTATAAAAGACGGCGAGAAAGGATGGTAATTGCTCCCTCACTTTGGGGGGGACCTTTGCAAAGAAATAATTAAATAAACTGTATTCTTGTCTTATCTCACAACTCTCTGTCAATTATTTTCTGGGTACAGGCATTTCCTGTGTATCACAGGTTACCACCTTTAGAACGCTCCATGGCTTAGGACCTGGTTATTTACGGGACCGCCTACTACCACAAACAGCCTCCCACCGGCCGGTACGCTCTCATAGAGAGGGGCTCCTCCGGGTGCCGTCAACCAAGCAGTGTCGACTGGCGGCCCCCAGGGGGAGGGCCTTCTCTGTGGGGGCACCCACTATCTGGAACGAGCTCCCCCCCGGAGATATGGAGGATCCCAGATCTGCGCACTTTCCCCCGTGCTCTTAAGACCCTCCTATTCCAGCAAGCCGGCCTGGCCTAATTTTCTCCCCTTTCTTTTAAATTTTTAAACTGAAATTTTAATTTGTTTTAAATTATTGGGATTTTTAATTGTCTTGGGCTAAATTATTTAATTTGGTTTTAAATTGTTTCTAACTTTTGTATTTATGTATTTTATTCTGTGCCTGTTCACCACCCTGAGTCCTTTGGGAGTAGGGCAGTATATAAATTTAATAAAACATAAAACATTAATAAAACATTATTATTATTATTATTATTATTATTATTATTATTATTATTATTATTATTATTATTATTATTCCTTTGATTCTTATATTTTTTGAGATTTCTCTCCTCTTTTTTCTTTTTTTTTCCTGCCCCTTCTCATAATTTGGATATAATTGTTTTGGATTAAGGTAATCAAGTGCCTGAAGAATTTCTGGTTTTTGTTTTTGATTTTTGTAATTGGTACCCCTATTTTTATTTTTTACTTTTTTGGCTTTCATGGTTTATGTCAGCCTCAGCTTTGCCTGCTTCAGCTGCCATAAGAAACGGGGGAGGGACTAGTTAAGGGGGCGAAGGGGGGGAAGGTGCAGGAGGTGTTTTTTCCATTGTAGGACGTGTCTTCCCAAGAAACGAAAGTGAATCTCCAAAGGGGCCGGCTGACCAACTGCCCTACATTCCTGATGAATGACGTTGCCAGACGTGATGCCACCTGACCTTTGGGAAACCTTTGGATTGGATGATGATCAATGGACACGGGGGGGGGGGAGAAGCTTAGTAGATGCTATTTCGCGCGTTTTGCTCACTTCCAGCTTTACCTGGGTTGCGATCATTTCATATTCAGTAAAAGTACTAATCTCTTTAAAATAATTGAGTTTGGGTTTTTCTTTCCTGGATATTGAAGGAAGCATACCTGACAGTTTATTTTTCTTTTTTACCTCCTTTTGCTGGATCCCTTTTTTTGCTTTTTCTATTCTTTTCCTTTTTAATATCTAAAGGATTACGGTTTGGAAGAACCAGAAGAGCTTGTGATCAATTTTTTGTCTTTTTTCTGTTCTTGTTTTTCCCTCCAGTATTTTTTCTCCCCTTTTTTCTCCCTCTTTTTTGGGATTTTTTTCCTTTTTTTTCCCCCTTTCTCCCTGTTTTCCCTTTCTCCCTGTTTTCTTCACTTGATTGGATTACAAAATGAGCAGAAAAATAGCAACAGTGGGATCTGCTGCAACAGTGGGATCTGCTGCAATCTCCTGCATCATTGCCATCTAGTGGGCAAAGATCTATCCAGACAATGTTGCAACAAGAAAAAGACAAAGATAAAGAATCGCCAATACAAACAAT